TAATAAAAAAAGGGGTTGATCGTAGAGGGGTAACAATTAAGGGTTGTATATATTTTTGTATGCTATATCATAAAAAAATAAATACAAAAAGTTTTATCTAAAAAATAAAATAAAAATTTAGGGGTAATTCACCCTTAAAATTTAGGGGGATGAAAAATAGATGTTGTCCGATTCTCAGACTTACTGAATATGCATAAAAAAGTTCATAAAAATCGGTTAAGCCGTTTCGGAGGAGTATGGAACCGACCATTGTGACACGAGAAATTATTATTATTATATATTAGATTTATAATTTGCTGTGGTCTCCGGCTGAATGACCAGCGCTGTGGAACATTCTGCTCCTCAACATGATACTGAGCCAGGGCCAATTACAACCACAGCACGCATTGCACACTTGTAACGAACCGAATGGGAAAAGGAAAAAAAATTGTTTTTATATATCTATCAATTTATTTTTTATTAAATTTTTTTCTTTGATTATTGTTATTTTGTGTGTGTGTTTTTGTTTCTCATAAATGATATGTCTATGTCTATAATTTTCTTAGCCGACATAATAATAATTAAAAATTGATAAATAGAAAATTATAACAAAAATTATAACAAATTTAAAAAGTTTGGTCCCTGTGGCAGTGTACCTTTAATACTAACAGCATTTCCTCGCTGCATTGTATAGTATATTAAATTGCATAATTTTATATTTTTGTTTATACATTTGTGATGAAACTAAAACATTAGTTTTTAAACTAATGCTGCAATCGACCAATCAACTCGTGAAACTCTGCCTAGAGGAAACAGCCGAGTTTACAGTACAGGCAATTTGCAGTAACTTAATTATATACAAAAAAGCCTTAAAAAGGTAGAGCTCAGACCGCACTAATTGCCAATTACGATGGTACAAATGAGAATAGGCTATTCTATTGCCTGTTACGAGCATTCGATTTTTAAGTATTAACGTGAAATCACCGCAAACAGTTTTACCCTATTTAAAAACAAGTTCTAAGTTGTGTTGAAAATGTTTTTCTAAATTAAAAGCCTAGAATCATGTGATATCGGGCTATGGGTGATTCATGTATATCTGAAACAGACACTATGCGGGGAATAAAAATATCATTCATAGGTAACATAATGTTTTTTATCCATAAAAAAATAACTCAAGGGCTTAAAACGAACGTACTGGCAGTTTACTCCTTATCAGTCTCTTAAGGCCGCTTCACACAAATCAGTGAAGCCACAGTTCCGTCAACGTGTCCGCTCAGTTTAGTATCAGTGATACAGTATTGCGTCAGTCATTTTATTCACACATGTGCACACCCACAGCACTCAGTTTACGGAGCGTCAAGTATCGTGATTATGGCTCTGTTCAATACAATGATAGCTGTTGCTTTAGACGAAGAAAAAGAGCAGCATCAAGGAAAAAAAAGAAAATGGATGCATAAAGCATGGCAATTAAGAGATACGGAAGGAGAATTCATCACATTATACAAAGAATTAGTTAAAGATGAAAGAAAATATTTTAAAATGTCAAAGAGCTGCTTCAATATTCATCTGCAATAAACAAAATGTAACAAATAATAACGCGGCATCAGTGATCCGACATAAAATATCATTGTCAACGAATCCGTCCGTGATTGCCGGTGTTGGCACTGACACTGAGAGCACTGTGTCGCCACTGACACTGACAAGTGGGGATGCGTTCATAGAGAATGTATGAAATAATATTTCGCACTGTGTCGGAACTGTGGCTTCACTGATATGTGTGAATCGACATTTAATCGCTGTTCTTTGGCTTTACAAAATGAATTAAAGCTGCAACCATTATCTATTTAAACCACTTGTAAGACAATAAAGTAGATTCTAATATTAGTACTATTATAATTATAGTCTAAGATCCGACCGCGTGATTTATACGTTCATATGTTTGATTAATAAAATATTATTTTTATCGATATTTATAACTAAACCAATGCAGATCCGCAAAGGTGGCCATCCAAATTTGGCCGCAATTAATTTTAATTAAAATGTAATTAATTATTTATTTTTGAACAATTACGTTCACTTGTAATTGTTAAAAAATATATTTCATTAGAAAGAAATATACCTGAGATACCGAGAAAGTTGAAGGTGCCATCCCTCACTTGGCCGCAACCTAATGTCAGCCAGGTGTAAACAGGTATAATTTCGTTAAATATATACGTTCATAATGTATTATCATGTTATACATACCAAATTGAAGATTAATTCTTTCCCTACATGATGAGATATAGGTGCCTATGCAAAAATGCCCGCAAATAGTGACTGCCAACGATTAAAGATAAATAAAAGCGAGAGAAACTTAAGATAAACACCCCATGTCGAATAAAGATAGAGCATCCCAGCTGCTTGTCGTTTTTATGCTACTGCGCATGCGTCCATAGGCAAGGTGCTCAACTAGTAGCTCGCGTATTTGCTTGGAGTTTAAAATACTCCAAAAATTGAGCAGTAAAAATAATATGTCATAATAATTAATCTACCAAACTAGTGTTTTCAATATTTTTTTAATTATATTCAACTAAAACAATATTTTTTAACTGTGAAACGTCATTTTGAATATAATAATCGTAACGCCGTCTTTTACGAGGCGGATGAGATTCAATGTTGTCATCGTTAGATTGTGATGTAGAGCAATTCAAGATTTCCATATCACCACTTTCTTCATTAATCCTATGATTGAACTGGTATATATAGACCACAAGCCCATGAACAAAAAATACCTGTGAAATGACCCAACCTGAATTACGCTTAGAAGGCTGTTACTATATCTGAAAATAGCTCTGAGCACTATGCCGTCATTTCTGAGCGGTACATGTGAGTACGTGAGTGAATGGACTTTCCCATGTACAATGGGGGAATTTCGACTAATTATTAATGTACGGCTTTGTTATAAGTGTATAGATGATTAAAAATAAATGTCGAAAAACCTAGTGCCGTACAAAAGTGATGGTGCCGGAAGTCGGTGCAAATTTTTAATTCGACGACAGTTGCAGAAGCAATATAGGTCATTTATTACTGTACGGCATTTGTGTCATTCCTTTTGGACACATATACAGATACTTTACCCGTAAACGCCGTACATATTTCCAGCGGAGCGGTCGAAAGCCAAGGGTCGGAACCCTACCCCTACACCCATATACCCTAAGGTCATTGTAAAATGTACGGCAACATGTTCAAAATATTATTTAACACGGACAATAATGTTTTATAAATATGCCGTCCAAATATTATAGTTAATATTTGTGTAATTAAATATTTATCGAAATTTCAGGATTTACCAAGTTCTTACTGCTGTAAGATCAGAGAATAATGTACGGCAACTTGTTTTTTACATAATGTTACTAAATATTACCGTTGTACATTATAGCCGTTCATTATAAATGGTAACAAATAAAAATATTATGATAAAAAATATATGAAATTTCCGAAATTTAGATGACTTTTCAAATGCTCCTAGAGTAATATGGGGAGTAATATTTTCAAAGATTATTGTTATTTTATATGTAACAAATATAAATAAACAAAAAAAACCAGATGCCGTACATTTCACTCCAGATTATTCTTTACAGCTGATAAAAACTTCGACGACGTTTGAGGTGTCCCTTAAGGTCATTAATAACTGTACATATCTGAGTATACTACCATAAGGCTGTAAAGTATATTTACAGCCTTATCGTAACAGCAGAGAGAGGTAAAGGAAAAATATTTTTAACAAAAATATATATAATACAGGGCGTCCCAAAGTTATGAGACATGAAGGGAAAGTACCTTAAATATCGCAGATAGGGTATTTTACTAAAAGAAGACTTTATGTTATTTATAAAAGTTAGTAATTCTGCATTCAAAGATTTTTTTAAAACTACTTGCCTCGTCTGGAAATCGAACCGGCTTAAATTAAAAAAAAACACCCCTACTTTTTATGATGCCAATCGAAAGAATGGCCAAAACCTAATAACTTTTCTAAAGTAACAGACTCGTAGGGGATTTTTAGGCCGAATACGATAGATAATGTTTTTAATTTGATTAAAAAGATATATTCACGCTGTTCCTTTCTTTTAAAATACTATGTTACTTAAGAAGAGTTATTAGTTTTTGGCCATTCTTTCGATTGGCATCATAAAAGTAGGGGTGTTTTTTTACATTTAAGTCAGTTCGATTCCCAGACGAGGCAAGTTATTTTAAAAAAATCTTTGAATGCAGAATTAATAACTTTTAAAAATAACATAAAGTCTAATTTTAGTAAAATACCCTATCTACGATATTTAAGGTACTTTCCCTTCATTTCCCATAACTTTGGGACGCCCTGTATTGGTAGGCGGTGGTAGCGGACTATCGAAAGTGTACGGCATTTATCTTTTATTGAAGATTGTCTAAAGTATTAATATCCTGTGTTATTGCCGTACAGATAAAAGTCACCGGAAAATGACTCTTTTCTGAGAAAAGTAATTTGCCCCATACACCTATGTGTTCCACAAAAAATGTACGGCATGCTGGAAAATGTTATCTATTTGTGAAGTACTCTCAAGATCATTTAATTTTATGTTGATTCATATCATCATCACCTATATGCTAATCAAACATATGTTGCGACCCTTGGCTTTCGACCGCTCCGCTGGGAATATATACGGCGTTTACGGGTAAAGTATCTGTATATATGTCCAAAAGGAATCACACAAATGCCGTACAGTAATAAATGACCTATATTGCTTCTGCAACTGTCGTCGAATTAAAAATTTGCACCGACTTCCGGCACCATCACTTTTGTACGGCACTAGGTTTTTCGACATTTATTTTTAATCATCTATACACTTATAACAAAGCCGTACATTAATAATTAGTCGAAATTCCCCATTGTACATGAGAAAGTCCATTCACTCACGTACTCACATGTACCGCTCAGAAATGACGGCATAGTGCTCAGAGCTATTTTCAGATATAGTAACAGCCTTCTACGCGTTATTCACGTTGGGTCATTTCACAGGTATTTTTTGTTCATGGGCTTGTGGTCTAATAATACCAACGGTATCATGTAAAGTGTCTTTACCAGTAGCAGTGTCGACAAAACGATCGAAATTGTCAAAAGCAACATGCGTACTTAATCCGTTAACTTTACGGATGCCGGATGGTACTAAACTTTCGTCTTTTTGCGTTGCGTATGTCAGTTCCGTCGGATCTCGTACTATATATACTTGCTGTGTTGTGAGTCGTGCTTGGCTTGTTAGTGAGAGTAGTTGTACTATAATAGTCATAGTAAGCATGTTATTGAAATAAATTTAAACCCGAGTTAAATTCGGCAGCGATGTGTTGTAGATATGTTCAAATAATACACTCTGTTTGTAGCTGGGTGTCAACTGGCTTTAATCATCTAATACATGAGCTTATGTCTAATATATATACAATTCTCGTGTCATGTTCGTTCCCATACTCCTCCGGAACGGCTCTACTGATTCTTATGAAATTTTTTATGCATATTCAGTAAGTCTGAGAATCGGCTACTATATATATTTTAAACCCTTAAGCGATAAGGGATGTCCACCACAATTTTTTTTTGTTTTTATTTTTTTATGATACAACATACAAAAATACATACAACCCTTAATTTTCACCCTCTACGACCAACACCTTTTTTTATTATAGCAGATAGTTATTTTTATTGAACTAAAACAATGTTTCTTAGAAATAATATACATACATGGCAAAACAACGTTTGTCGGGTAAACTAGTATAACATAAAATTAGGGGTTGCTAAGCTGGATTAACAAAAAAGTCGTTTGGCTAATTTAAGGGTTGTTAAATCTAAGTGACACTTATTTAATGTTAGGTTACATAACAAATTATTACTCTGTAATTTCCAGGAGAGATAGCGATACTGATATACTGTTTTTGTATGCTATGCTATTTGAATATTTATATTGAAATATTCACCGCGCTGACGTAATCACTGCATAGCGTGGTACTTCGCTATTCGAAGGTTGGACATGTTCTTAATACGTCTGAAAACTTTCGCCGTTTCGCCGTTTGAACTTGAGATCGTTATCCTTGTAATAGCAATTATTCATACATTCTACATTACGAGTCTAAGACTTTATATGCAATGATTTATCATGTCAATCTTTATAGCAGCAAAGAACTTGTCACAGCCGTGTATAATGTATACCCTTTAAATATTTATAATATGTTCAGGTATGATCAGCAAAATACAAAACAAATTGATTTTACGTTAAAATGAAAAATACACAAAACATTTACAACCAGATGTTACTGAGTGCAACCACCACCCTTCTTCCAAAGAGATTTCATTCAGAATAAAACTTATACGAAGGTGGAATTATGGTGGCTTGTGGGTATTAGATTTGAATTTTGAAACCGCTTTCAAGATAACTCTGAAATTCTTCAAATTAATTAAAATCATAATCGTTTGTTGTGCCAAGCTATAAAAGCCATTCTTACCGGTCGTAAAGGGGAGATTTTATGAATAAATTGAACCGCACAAATGTAACGAGGTTTAATTAATTAAAGTATTTGCAAATAATATGCAAGAGCTAAAATTAATTTTAGAAATAACCGCTTAGGGGAAATTTCATAGTCGAGACGTGTCGTGACGTCTAAAAAGAGTGGCGGAGAGTTTATTGCCAGTTCTTCTTTTCAGTTCTACGCCCTTGATTTAGAACTTAGCTTTAGCTTAACTTTAGTTTGAAAAGTGAGTTACAGAATCGCAAGGCTGGCACTAAATGTAAAATTAGAAGCATTAATACGTATTTCATTACTGACAAGTCATAAGTGTACAATGTGTTATCTATATGATTAAATGATATTTGAATTTTGAAGTTTAAGTCAAGGTCGTAACGAATTTATTAATTTTTATCAGATAACTGAATCGGGTTAAAGAACATTTTTGTTCATACGGAAAGTTATAATGGAAATGATAAATCCGGTAGAAGATACTGAGGGAACCACAGAGTCAAAGGATCAAGCCGATGTAAAAGAGCAGGGTAATCGACGATTTGAGTGGCCCTGCGTTGAATGCGATATAAAAAAGGATTCATTTAAATTCCACTAACTAATGTCTGAGATATTGTCTTAGGTATAAACCAAACAGTTTTGTATAATTTTCAGTGCCACATAAAGCTTAGAATCTAATTAACATAATACTTGTAGGTGCTATCCTACACACGCTCAAAAGGCTCTTTGGCCTTATAATAAACATGAACATGACTACTCTCGTGGTTTGCCAGGTAATCTTCTAGGTAATTTTCTTTCGAAATTCGTCAAATAAGCCATTGAGTAGCAATATAGTTACTATTAACTTCTGTCGGAGAGTTTCATAATTATGCAATTAATGATTATGAGGCTTTGACCAGTGATAATTTATTTATGAGGTATTTAATATCTTAAATTGGATCAATTTAATCAGAGCGTCTATGTTATTATGAATAATTAAGATATGTAATTATGTTATGCCAGTTATGTAATTAAATTAAGTATAAATTTGTTTATCATGTTCCATGCATCTTAGTAACAAAGAACATATTGAAGCCTGTTTAATTATTATCTTGGTTATATTTTAAGGATAAGAAATGAGGTATAATTTAAACTTACATTATACTTGAACACAATGTATATATCTTTAATGTAAAACCAACAGTGATCTACACTTACCAAACTACTAAATACCTATACTTATCTAATATTCTTAATATTCTGCTCCTGTACCCAGCTTCGGCATTTAAAAGTGAAATGAATAATTTACTCAAGGAAAACTTAGAATTCTCCTGCTGAAATAATTTTTAAATCGGTCTAGTAGGTTTTTAGTTTATTCCCTAGAAATATTCAAGTCTTTCTTCTTTCAAACTCAAACTCAAAATATCTTTATTCAAGTGGGTAACCAAGTACACTTTTGAATTGTCAAGTTAAATTAATTGTAAATTTACATTTACTACCAGTTCGCAAGTCAAGGGCGTAGAGCGGGTAAGAAGAACTGGCAAGAAACTTTCCGCCACTCTAATCGCCAAGTATTGTCATACAAATTGTTTGAACTGGAGCAAATCAATCCCAAGGATTAGGATCATTTAAGTATTCCTCAAATTTATAAAACGCTTTATTGATTAATTTCCGTTTAACGAGCTTTGAATTTATTTAGTGATAAACTCTTTATAAAACATAGATAAAAAATAATAAACATGCAAACATAAATAAAATAATAAACAATTTCACAGATAAACCTGTCCAAATCTTAAGACATTTTGATATAAGCTTTTCTTGTTTGGTATAATGAAAATCCCAAAGAAAAAGAGTCACTGCCACCCATTTACTGTGAATTCGCAGACGGCGTGTAATAAAACTGACTGTTATCTAGCTAATTTTTTTCTCCAAACGAAGGCTTCAGCCGAATCTTTAGGGAGCTGAAATGATTATGAGCGTCAGTTAAAGCAGATTATAGGGAAATCAAATTTTGGATGAATTGGTTTTACGGGTAATTTATTATGTTGCAATTTATTCTATAATGTTTATTGCAAAATTTCTTTTATGTTTCAAGCCGCTTTCTTCCCTTATACATGGTAAAATGTTGTGGAGTTTAATTCCAAAACTAAATTCATAAACGTTTATCTACATTTCATAATTTTATATCGACTATTGATGTTTGTAATGAATAAACTCAACTAGCGGACCGCGTTAATAAATTCTTTCAATATTAGAATGTTTCATTATCCCTGATAAATTATAATATTATATTATTGGCTAATACAGCCACATTATCATATATAATATTTATACTCCACATCTTTTAAAAAATCCTGCCACGGGAAGCTGGGACCGGCCGCTTGTTTAATGATTAAAACACATTTGCCTTGGTTAGCTTAGCTTAGAGTATTTTATAAATTTTTTCGACGTTCTTAAGTGTACAAAAATTTGCTAAATTAATAAATTACTTTGACTTAATTTCAAACAAATTCATACCAGTTTCTTTTATGCAAATTAAAAATGTGTCATTTAGATGCTAATCAAAAGTAAACAAAGAAAATTATTGACAGAGTCCAATTTTATTTTATCACACCGAGGGTCGGTGTCTAAAAGTTAATCAAGAGGGGATGTGTTTCGTGCAATTTGTAGACCTATTTGACCCTTCATAACAGCCATCAGGGCACTTAGTGTTTTTTAAAATGGCCGTTGTAATCGCCATACAGGAAATGAGCAACCATTTTTCTTAATAAGACCGAATTTTTCCGGACAATTCAGTTGTTTATTATATGTTTCGAACTTTGCGCTATTTCTAGTAATTGATAGCTAACGTAAGGAAGAGAAGTACCGAGCAGTTTGACAATTAATAAGATAGCTTTTTGTTACGCTAGTAATTTTATTTTTAGATACAGAAATTTATGTGCGGAATAACAGAAATTGGTCACAATTCCTCCGTTCACCGAAGCATCGGCATTCATTACAATAATGTTTTTATACTTAAAAACAAAATTAAAACAGATTTAATTAATTTCTTTTTTAAACAAACAAATTAAAATAATTGGTTTACATTCATCAAGTGGTAGGTACAAAGTGCACTAGTAGGAACTTGTTACTGAAGTCCAAGTGTCGAAGCTATATACAAAATATCTCTCATATGGTAATTTTATTCGATACGTTCCTATTACGATTACTATATTATAGAACCCGGACGATAGAGGATTCTGAGATTAAATCTAATCGGGTAGGCTATGGCAGTTCGTAAAGCCAGCTTAGGTGCGCATTGGAATATTGACACATTGTCTATTGTTTATACTTCATACGATTTACTCGGCTTTTGTGTACCAGTATTATATTAATACTCAATTCTATACTATGTAATCTATTCTCTAGTCTATAAATCTCGAAAATTGTACAACAATAATGAGGTAAGTAACACACAGACTACAATAGCTCAGAGGTAGTGACATATCCATTTTGATGACTCCCCACAGAGCATATGCAAACTCACTGTCTTGAGTCAGTTGGAAGAAGGCCTTCAGCTTACGGCGTTCGTATTTTCCTGTAAAAAAATCTGATTTTACGTTCTTATTTATTTCGTGTTATGTCGAACAATCTTGTGTATATTTCTATAATAATAACCAATCGTTTTTTCAGATAAAGTGTACATAAATTAATTAGAATCTGTTTTAAATAACAAATTTTATTCGTTTATTACAGCCGGCAAAGGCAATTCTTCTTTGGGAAAATACTGTAAAATAATTTCATCCTATTTTGTGAATAACAATCTGTGTAAAATGTATGTAGTCTGTAACTCACGATATTACTTATATATATCGAGAAGTTTATATTACTTGAATCAAGATTTTGCTGAAGACTTACGCACGAGAATACACCAATACACACATTAAAAGATCATATGTAATTTCCTTTAAAAAAACATATGGTTTTGTTCCAATAATATATTTTAGCTTGACAAGAATTATAGTTTATTCCTATGTATCAAGCCATCCTGGGTTTGCCAGCTTTTTTGGATACAATATTGAATTATAAATAATATACTACTTCGACAGATATTAACGGGAACCGATTACTTTTTTGGATATACGCATACAACTTAGTAAACTTAGAAGTATTATGAAGTTTACGAAACAGATACAGAATTCTGAGGGACAGACCAAAAAATTGTAGCGCCACTGATGTTTTATGTAGTGTTTAAACAGGACACAAAATAAACGAATGCCATCCAAAATGGCATGACAACTTACCCCACATTTAAGATAAGGGATTGAAAAATAAAAGCATTCCAAAAATATTAAGGTATACATACCAAGTGCTTTAGTATTGATAGCATCATGCAGCATCGTACGCATAGTAGCGACTTGTGTGGTCGTAATATTTGAAAAATAGCAGGGCATTATAAAAAGTATTGTGAACTTCATACAGTATATTATTGTGTATGTAACAATGTATTTTACAAACTGAAATAAATAACATTTAAGGTAGCATTTGCATTATAATCTAAATAGTAAATAATTTGGTATTTTTTCATAAATTGAAAATAGATTTATTTGTTTGATCTTCAAACAATATTCAAAATCGCAAACCTTAGTCTCTAAGGCTTAGAGTATTATATTCATTATTAGGATAATTGGTTATAAATTTTTATATGGTAAAGAAAACTTAACATTTAAAAAGTGGTGAATTGGTTGAGGGTAATTTTCTACGAATTAAATTGAACTGAATGTGTTCAATATTATCTAAACTACATTGAGCCACTTATTTTCTCACTTTTTCATTACATTTTCAGTTTTTATTAAAAAAAGTAACCATCAAATACCAACATATTTGTTTTCTTCGTCCGATTGTTGTACAACTGCAAAAACATTTTTAAGTAGCATTATTGATGTTAATCCGGATGCCGTGAATAATAACACCATCTGCAAGTATGTATATTTGATAATAAAACGAATATGTGTCATAAAAAATAGTATGAAAAGGACAGGGATTAGGCTCATTTTACTTACGAAAAATATAGGTTTTGTATTTCCCGTTTTCCTCCTACAAACTTATTTTTGTAGCATTAACTTATTACGTCTTAAAAATACCGTTAAAAGTAACGAGAACAAGATCGTGACACAATTTTATAGACTGCCGATTGGTAAAAAAATCATAAATACACTATCAAATAACAAAGAAAATACACGGCTACAATATTAAGATACTCCCAAGAAAGATAATAATGTAAACATTTGTGGGATATACGTATTTTTTTATTTAAATAGATTCATTTACTTACCGGAAAATTCATGGCAGAGTTGAGTTTTTCCGAACACGTATGAAGCAAATCATAAGCGTTGTGCAGGTGACTGACATCCAAGTTGGCGTTATTCGACAAGCCTTCAAGCTGATTACTCGACTTTTTCTTTCGTAAAAATAACTTCCCTACATGCCCCTTTATTATCTTAACGCGCTTCAAAATCATCGTAAGTAGAACGCAAAAAAATATGATTTCTGTATCGTGACAGAGGAACGCCAAGTTCATTATTAAATACGCGTAATTTACAGGTTTATCGCCAATTACATTCTCAGAATTGAGTATATAAAGCAGGTCTATGATAAAAAACACAGCGAATATAAAAATATACAAAAATAAATGTAGTAAACTAAAACCGGCGAGTTGATGATGATTTTTTATATTTAATATGCTATCAAACATTTCCATCTTCTCAACGAATTTCTTAAATGTTTTCTTGTAGAGTACCATGGAGTTGAAAGATAACAGAGCAAATTCTATTACCACAGTATTCCTAAATACAATATAGGTCGCACTAGTCATATTATTACCCAACATTACATACATGGTCAAACCTGTTATAATTACGGTATATAAATATCCAAACAAAATTATATATTTATCATTGAAGAATAAATACAGTCGATTGATGCCTATAACCATTTGTAGTCCAAGCAAATATTTAATTTGATGTAGAACGTGGTATTTAGTTTCGACTAAATTATTGATTTTTGGGGCCCCAAGCGGGGCCACTTTTGAACTATTCATTTCGAAAGATGCCATAATACTGAATACGAATATATGATGGTTATAATATTCATTTATTATTTCGTGAATGGTTTACAAATGACCACGCCTAATGAATTATTGGTAAAAGCTTTCACATTGCTTAATGAACAAATACAACAGTTTTTCCATAATAGTTATTACTTTTATTATTGGATTAAAATTTAATTTGTCAAATGTATATTAAACTTTTATCGAATAAACATTAGGCTGATTAAACGAATTGTGCATTAAATATTTTAAACATTTTCATAAAAAAATCGTTGTGCCTTTATTTAATTTAAAACTTGATAAATTATATAATAGGGGAAGTAATTATATGGTAGGGGAGTAAAAATCACGTACAAACAGTCGAGGGATTCCCGAAACATAAACTTAGGAAAGCAAAAATTAAAGTAACGTACAATACAATAAAGGGATTCCTCGTACAACATAAACGAAAGGGGTTGCCAATTAATCCCCCAGTTTTTTTATTAAAAAACAAAATGTTGTTTAAATAACCCCCCTCCCGCCCATGTAACGCACTGTAACGTTTCAAAAGACTCCCCCTCCCCCCAAATTGCGTTACGTAATACTTAAACGCTCCCTAGGTAGTAGGTATAATGTAAAAATAAACAAGTGGTTTTTTCCAGCGTACAAGTGTACCCTCTATATATACGCTAATAACAACAGATATTATCTATTGAAGTCTATTGTTATATGTCATTGTTGACAAAGTCTAAATATAAAATTGCAGTTCTACAAATATTCATTATTCGAATTTATTTTAGGCTTGTTGAGAAAAGAGATGTTCACTGTTCGGTTTTTGCTACATTAGCATGTGGGTAGTTACAAATTTATTCATCCTACCCACTTTGGAAATAACCCATTTCATTATTCATCATCAAGGCATTTTCTCTGTCATATATCATGCATTTAAAAATAATTCTATTTCTGCTGAAGCAGAATATTGTTAATATTACACCATCTAACAAAACTCTTATTATAAAAAAACTAATTGTGTCAAGCTATCAAGTATGTAACGTTAAAACGCTTTTGTAATGTAGCAAAAACTTGCTTGAAGCTTCTGGGCTTTGACCGAAGTAATCTTTTTGAATCGGCGTTGATCAGATAACTTTTTTGTAATGTCAAAGGATTTTTGATACCTTATAGGTTACCTGAATAACGTACCTAAAGTTAAAATTTATTGCCCTCGTTTAGAGGCAACACAACACCAAAGAGGAAAAGAGAAATCATTGTTTTACGTTATTTTTATTTCGGTTGTCACTGGTGATACTGTATTTGTCAAATTAAATTATTTAACGGTAAAAATATATTAGTCTCTTAAAGAAAATTTGTATATGTGTTTGCTATTTGTACTCATACACACAAGTATGATGTAAGTATTGAATTTCAGTACCATCAATATTGATTATTCGACAGTGAAAATACCTGTGCTCTGTAACTCTCGATAGATATTCCAATGATGAAACCAATAATGAACTTAACAATTGGCAGAATTCAATATCGCTAACCCCGCGTTTTTACAATCATTGAGAACTCGCCTATTCAGAGCATAGATTTAATTTGCATAAATTTATAATTTTATATACTAAATTCACATATTTATCAGCTACATATCGGCGTCATCTGTTTTCAATTATTCTAAAAACCCATGACCAATACAAGGTTCGCGATATTGATTTTGCCAATTTAATTATTGAGGATGACAGAGTACGGGCACATAACTATAGTCCTTGGTCAAGGTATACAGGAGTCATCTGTTTTCAATTGTTCTTAAAACCCATGACCAATACAGGTTCGCGATATTGATTTTGCCAATTTAATTATTGAGAATGACAGAGTACGGGCACATAACTATAGTCCTTGGTCAAGGTATTCAGGAGTCATGAGTTTTCAATTGTTCTTAAAACCCATGACCAATATAGGTTCGCGATATTGATTTTGCCAATTTAATGATTGAGAATGACAGAGTACGCCCACAGAACTATAATCTTTGGTCAAGGTATACAGAAGTCATCTGTTTTCAACTGTTCTAAAACCCCATGACTAATACAAGGTTCACGATATTGATGTTGCCAATTTAATTATTGAGAATGATAGAGTACGGCCACAGAACTAAAGTCCTTGGTCAAGGTATACAGGGTTCATCTGTTTTCAACTGTTCTAAAACCCCATGACCAATACAAGGTTCACGATATTGATTTTGCCAATTTAATTATTGAGAATGATAGAGTACGGCCACAGAACTAAGCCGTGGTCAAGGTATACAGGGTCTTTTTCAATTGTTCTAAACCCAGCCCAATACGGTTCGCGTAATTTTTTTTTCGCTTTTTTTTTTGAATAATACTGTAGCCCACATGTGAGGTCAGTACCAAAGGACTCGTGAATAGTACATCAGTTCTTTGATTGCAGTCCGTTACTTATTGAGGTCTCTTAAAAGGTATTTAAAAAGACAAATGCAATGCAGCAAAACTCCTTAAAGTATATTTTATTAGCTAAACATTTTCTTTTACGAGGAAGTGATTATCTTAATGAGCTCTCGTTAATGGCGGTTAGCATTGTTTTTCCTCAAACGTGATTCACTTTGGACATTTTTTCCGTTGTACCTTTAACTGATTTTTAATTTTTTTTAGTTTAGTTACTTTAACGATATATGACCACATTACTGTTGTATCTGAAATCTAGTAATCTAATATATAAAATTCTCGTGTCACAATGTTCGTCCACATACTCCTCCGAAACAGCTCGATCGATTTTTATGAAATTTCTTATGCATATTCAGTAAGTTTGAGAATCGGCTAATCGGTCCGCCCCTAAATTTTTATTTTTTAGATACAAGTTTTTGTTTTTATTTTTATAATACAGCATACAAAAATACATACAACCCTTAATTGTCACCCCTCTATGATCAACCCCTATTTTTTATTATAGTAGATTTTATGATTTTTTTATAGTAGATTTATTTTTTATTATAGTATTTTTATTGAACTAAAAAATGTTTCCTAAAAGCAATATAAATGGCAAAACGATGTTTACCGGGTCAGCTAGTATTCTTATAAATTTATCTCTTATTTCTAATTTTTTCTTGAGTGCCTCTTTTCTTTTGATTGTCATCCAGCCCGATTTGCGGACAATTTTAACGAAACAATATTGAAATATACAGTTATGTCAGTCCCTTTATAATTTCCGAACTTACCTTAATTCTGAAGACTGTGCTTTGTTTTGTAAAAGTTACGTGCTCGCTTTGTATTTTTACAATTTGGCACGGAACTTCTTAAGGACTTTGTTATTTGAATTCTTCAGCACTTTTCGCATAATATCAAAGACTATTTGAGATTTAAAAGTTAGAAAATAATTTTACGATTTAAAGTAGTTGTGGTAGATACATATTCGAAGACGATCCAGAGACCTAAGGGAAAACTTACTCTTAAGCCTGTCAAATTATATTTGACACATGGGAGTTGGTTCACTTCGGTTCTATAATCAAGTAATGACTTGCTTTTATCTAAATTGTATTAACGGCTGTAAATTCGAAATGAAGCTTATATTTGCTCTGAAGAAATAAAATTCAAAAATTCAAAAATCATTTATTCATATGGATAACACATTGTGCACTTATGACTTGTCAGTAAACAGATACATATTAAAGCTTCTAATTTTACATTTAGTGCCAGTTCTCAAATCAAGGGCGTAGAACGGAAGAGAAGATATATAAACTCTCCGCCACTCTTTTTAATCGCCATGTTTTTTTTTACACAACGTTTGTAAGGAGCTGCAACAGACAGAATAACAGACCTATGTCGATTGTGACTTAAATAAATGTTCTAATTTTCTTTTAAATTACTACCGAGTTTGTGCCTAATATTACACAATTGTTCAATTATTCCAACAAATCTTCAACTTTCATAAATTTATATAGATGGCGGTTCATAATTGAAAAATATCTCGCTTTTTCATAGTTAATCAAATTCCAAAATAGCTAAAACTTATGTCATAAAAAATAAACATTGAATTCAATAAGGAACCATTTAAGATAGAAAGGAAGCTCTGACCTTAGTTCGAAGCCAATAAATCAAAGCCTTTTTATCTAAAAAATAATTTTTCCAAAGAAAAAATAAAAGGGAATTTGCCGCAAATTCTGCCAAGATAAACTCGGGCATTGTAATGGACAGCGTTCAACCATTACTAAGTATTTATTAGCTATCAGGAGAAATTCCTTGGCGGCTCGGATTCTTTCTTCGTATACTGACAATGTGGTCTTAGGATATAGGGGATTAAGTCAAGGTAATTGCTTTGAGAAATAGAGTGCAGAATGTGTTCTCCAATAAATAAAAACAAAATAATACAGTAATTCTAAATTGTGTAAATTAGTTTTTGAATAGTTTATAAGGGCATATTTTTAATAAAGGAAAAAGGCGTCGAAAAAGCGAGTTTTTGGGTTAAAAACAAAACAAACATGG